AAGGAAATGTTCAAGGTAACTGGTACCCAAAATAAACACACTCATTTGTCTCTAAAAGCAGCATTTTTCACCATGTCTGCCAAATACTTCGTTGTCCAAAAACTCAACAACCACGGCAAAGCCCCAAGTGGTTATGATATTCATAAATATAAGTGTACTTCTCATCAAAGTTAATATGTGAATTAGGCAATTTGTATCCATTTGGATGGATGTTAGTATTTTGCACTTACAGCAACATTTAGTTATCAAAAAAATCTAATATAAGGAAATGTTCAAGGTAACTGGTACCCAAAATAAACACACTCATTTGTCTCTAAAAGCAGCATTTTTCACCATGTCTGCCAAATATTTCCGTGCAAAATCACATGAGCGTCCAGTATAAATATTGAATTTCTTCTTGCTCAAACTACCCTTGTTAACACTATCGACACTGTTCTTATCATTTTGGTCAGTGAGCTCTCTGTACTTTCTTTTCAAGGAAAGATTCTCTACTGGGACAATCACATTGTTGTACAGATCCTTGACTTTGACACAAGTTGCTTTATCGCCTGTAGCATCTCTGCTGGAAATATTTCCTTTTGGAGAGTTCATAATCCTGTCACACATGTTCTTGGTTTTGATAGATGAAGCAACTGCATCTTCCTTGCCTCCTATGGTTGTCTCTGCCATATCAGGTTCTTTATCACCTTCACAGTTAAGTACCTTTGATGTTTCTACTGATTCACAGCCTGTCAAGCCACTTTTGGACAAAGAAGGAACTGAATTTATTTCATCTCCTGTGATCTCATGCACCATGCTGTTCTCTTGAAAATCTTTGTCACCTTTGCAATTAAGTGCCTTTGATGTTTCTCCTGATTCACTGCCTATCAAGCCACTTTTGGATGAAGAGGCAACTGAATCTATTTTAATTCCTGTGATCTCACACACCACACTGTTCTCTTGAAAATGTTTATCACCTGAAACATCACCCACACTTGGTTTTTTTCCCGATTCACTGTCCACCAAGCCAGATGCAATGGATGTAGAATCCACCTTCTTTATTTTACTGCCAATGCTCTGTTGCAACATATCATGATCTTCTTCACCTGAAGTAAAATATGGGACCGAATTTCCACCAGAGTCACTGTCTGCAAAGTAGGCAGATGAATTCATTTCATCCCCCCTGATTCCTTCATCTGGATCTTTATCCACCTTAACTTTTTTGCTAGATTCAACATCTGCAAAACTGCACTTACTGGAAGAAAGAGTGCCAACATTCTGTCCAATTTCTGTGATCCCCTGTTCTGGTATGTTCCCATCAGATTCTTTGATTTCTAAGTCATGTTTGTCCCCACTCATTTCTGCTTTTTTTGGGGTTGGGGGAAAGATGATCCCACGTGGTCTCTTGACCTTAGCAGGTTTTTTTAAGCAATTCTGTCCTGTTGCTTTCACTCTTTTCTTTCTGTCTTGCTGTATTTCTCCCGTCATGAAACATGTTACAGAATGAGGGACTGTAAATTCTGATGATGGGGAAGAATCCATCAGATCTTGGAAAACATTCATATTCACTCTACTGTTTATGGTGTCACCTGGCGATAGTCTGTGTTTATGCACAATGGGAATAATCTTCCTTGGCTTGACATTCTGAACAAACTTTCTTAACTCTTCAAAAGAACTATGATCCGAGTAGGGAACAACAAAAACATTCTCCACATTGGCATAGGGGTTTGTTGCTCCAACATAGAGACATGTCGGCAATATTGCAACGGTTGGTTCTTGGGAGTTCCAAAACTGAAGGTTTTTCTTGGTGATTTCATGACTTTTTACTACCCGAATCCTTACTTTATCCACATCACAGGTAAACACATTTGGCATTTCAAGAAGTTTCAGTGTTTCTTTTCTCAAAGGATCCACTCCAATCCAAGTTTTGAACACGACAGCGATTGTATGAAGAAGCATTTCTTTGCCAAGGTTATGAAGCCCAATGACAACTTTGCATTCTGGATGTCCTCGAATTATCTCGAGAATGTTGACAGTTGCTTGAGTACGGGTGGGAAAAGCGCACTTCGCATCGCAGTAAGTATTGTCCAAATAAAGGACGTCAAATTGTTTCCCCTTCATAGTAGAGTGTGCTGTGAAACGTTCACAATAACGGAAATCGCCGGTGTAGAGAATTTTCCCAAAATATCCTTCGAAAATGAACATGACGGAACCAGGGCAGTGGTTGGCGTCAATAAGCGTTACAGTCATGGTTTCCTTTCCAGCTTCATCCAGATTTATGACAACGCATTCATCTAAGGGAAGACCAACGACGAGGTCGCTGTTAACTCCAAGTTTAGCAATTACGAGCTTCCTTGTAACCTCTGAGCAGTAAATTTTGTACGTATTCCATGAAGATGTCAGACCGACCGTGTGGTCCGCGTGCATGTGAGAAAGAAAGAAAACTCTCGAGTGCTGGCAGTGCCTCAACCTCCAGAAGTCAATAGCTATTGGGGTGTTGGAAATTACAGCCCCGTTCATCCCTATCGCTTTTTTTTGGACTTCCGTTTTCGAGCTAACCAGAGAAATCGACCAGCAGGTCCAACAATCCTAACATTGCCGCCATCTTCAATTGCTATGGAACCCAGTGGATTGCGTTTCCCGCCAAACACGAAGTACACACGAAGTAAACACGAAGTAAACACGAAGTGAACACGAAGTACACGGCGCGCGTGAGTCACGCAACGCATACGTTTGGCCCATTTGTATTACCCCCTGTTCCTGAGCTAAAGGATAAAAATAACTGCTTTCATCATAGTAAGTTTGCAGATCGTGGATAGCGTCTGGGATACTGTAGGCCACCAATTTTAGCGGTGGTTTTAAATTAAAACTTGAAATAGGAACAGAAATTCCTCCCCGTCGCGTACCTGACCAATGCAGGACTGGTAACAAATTATCCGGTTTGTTTGCGACAAGTTCACGGAAAGCACCCTGATTTCTACTTGTAACGACTAAAGACACCAATTGATGCAATAGTTCTGATAGTTCTCCATCGCCTTCGGTTCTTTTAATGGAATTTACAACCCGCTCAATAAATAAGAGAGTAACTACTTACATCACACTAAACAACAACTTTCCGGTGTCGTCGGAGGACAGCACTCTTAACTATAAATAAATTACGAAGTATTCAACCCAAGGTTAAGTATGGAGAAGGAAAGGGTACCCATCATGTCACGTCACTCTTCGAGGCAAACGAGGCATAAGCCGTCACGAATTGGATCGAACGTGACAAAGTATACAAGACTATCAATTTAAGTCTAAGGCAGGGTATTCTTTAAAGATTATGTGCATTTCAAATAACAATTTTAGCTCAGCAACAAAGTGAAAGCTTAAAAGTACTCGCAATCTCATGTTGCAATTTGATTAGGTACCCTTATGGCTATTCCAACTCACCCTCATACTTTGAGAAACCGAATGAACCAATGTAGCTAGACTAATTTTATTCACCTCCACACGCAGAAGTGTTTTCTGTAGTTTTCGTATTCAACACACATTTAAATTATTACAGTATTAGCCTCTTCCAGGCGTTCAGTTAGTTGGGGCGCAGCGCGAAAAACAGCGCGCGAAAAAATACAAAAAATCCCGCTTCCTCTAGCCGCGCTTTTTTTTTAATGTTTTCGCGCACTGTTTTTCGCGCTAAGCCCCAACTAACTGAACGCCTGGAAGAGGCTGTTACAGTATTTAAGATTTATTTTCCCATTAAAATGCAATTCACTCATTTCCAAACATAAGCAATAATCGCACACATTTTACAACCAATGAAAATAGCGCATCTACTTAAATGAAAATTAAAATCACTGCTATTTTTCGTCAACAGTAATAAATCCGATCTTAATAAATAAATCATCTCTTTGACTTAAATCTCTTTTTTTCTTTGTACAAAACTAAAGATTAAAAATCTTATTCGGTAAAGACTGTCAGCTATCTATAAATATACTTTGACTATGGATGTTCAATCACAATAACTTGCTGCTGATCAATAATTTGTATTTTTTGTAACTTCATAACCAATGTGGACTATAAACCCAAAATGAAAATCTATTANGCACACATTTTACAACCAATGAAAATAGCGCATCTACTTGAATGAAAATTAAAATCACTGCTATTTTTCGCCAACAGTAATAAATCCGATCTTTATAAATAAATCATCTCTTTGACTTAAATCTCTTTTTTTTCTTTGTACAAAACTAAAGATTAAAAATCCTATTCGGTAAAGATTGTCAACTCTCTATAAATATACTTTGACTATGGATGTTCAATCACAATAACTTGCTGCTGATCAATAATTTGTATTTTTTGTAACTTCATAACTAATGTGGACTATAAACCCAAAATGAAAATCTATTAAAATCACTGCGCAGAAGTATTCCACTCCTGGATCAATATTTGTTATAGTTGTTTGAAAATAAATAGGCCACAAACACAAGCCCATGCACAAGAAGAAAATGTACCCATGACCAACCGCACCAATAAGTTAATCTTGTATTCGAATTTTTTTGGCATTTCTCTGGGAGGGAGATCTCAGCACAAGATTATCAAGACGTTTGATCAACTGGCCTCTCCTCCTTTTCAGTATCAGTGTCATCCCTAATCCTTTTAGCTGGTAAGTTCCAGGGCTCTCTCTACCCCGCTCTTATAGGACGGAGTAGGGATTTTAGGAACTCTTCTGGGTCTCTTCCTGTTTTCCTCCCTAGTCCCCAGCCTGTCGCGTCTCCGTCGTTCTGTCTCCTTGCCCTTACTGCGCCCCGTGTCTTCCTTCAGAGGTGCCGTTCCTTGAGCTGTTTGTCCGAGCACTTCTGTGCACCTGCTTCAGTTCGTTAAATGAGGAAGCAAACTGAGTCTTCTTTGGTGGTTTCGGGGGTTTCCTAAAAAAAAAGTCACAAAATTACTACGCAACGATTTTGTAACAATCAGGGCGAAATTCTTTGAAGCGATCCTGAATTAAAGTTCCGTGCATCTCCGTGCTAAACACGATACAATTGGCTTTATCATTGAAAAACTAACCACTAGCATTTTCTGTAAACCTCTAGCTGTAGTTTGTGAATCACACAAACAAAATTTTAAGTTCAAGTTCTTGGTAAGGCACTCACCCATCACCGCCGGCTGAAACCTGTAATGAAGCAACACCGTCTGTGACTTTGGTCATTTTCTGAGCAGGTGAAGAACCACTGATGAACAAAAAACGACATCATGTGAAGTTTATATGAAATAATTCATATATGAACTGCGGTTGTAGATGAAAGTGAAGAATGATCATCGCAGTTAATTTTCCANTTTAGCGGTGGTTTTAAATTAAAACTTGAAATAGGAACAGAAATTCCTCCCCGTCGCGTACCTGACCAATGCAGGACTGGTAACAAATTATCCGGTTTGTTTGCGACAAGTTCACGGAAAGCACCCTGATTTCTACTTGTAACGACTAAAGACACCAATTGATGCAATAGTTCTGATAGTTCTCCATCGCCTTCGGTTCTTTTAATGGAATTTACAACCCGCTCAATAAATAAGAGAGTAACTACTTACATCACACTAAACAACAACTTTCCGGTGTCGTCGGAGGACAGCACTCTTAACTATAAATAAATTACGAAGTATTCAACCCAAGGTTAAGTATGGAGAAGGAAAGGGTACCCATCATGTCACGTCACTCTTCGAGGCAAACGAGGCATAAGCCGTCACGAATTGGATCGAACGTGACAAAGTATACAAGACTATCAATTTAAGTCTAAGGCAGGGTATTCTTTAAAGATTATGTGCATTTCAAATAACAATTTTAGCTCAGCAACAAAGTGAAAGCTTAAAAGTACTCGCAATCTCATGTTGCAATTTGATTAGGTACCCTTATGGCTATTCCAACTCACCCTCATACTTTGAGAAACCGAATGAACCAATGTAGCTAGACTAATTTTATTCACCTCCACACGCAGAAGTGTTTTCTGTAGTTTTCGTATTCAACACACATTTAAATTATTACAGTATTAGCCTCTTCCAGGCGTTCAGTTAGTTGGGGCGCAGCGCGAAAAACAGCGCGCGAAAAAATACAAAAAATCCCGCTTCCTCTAGCCGCGCTTTTTTTTTAATGTTTTCGCGCACTGTTTTTCGCGCTAAGCCCCAACTAACTGAACGCCTGGAAGAGGCTGTTACAGTATTTAAGATTTATTTTCCCATTAAAATGCAATTCACTCATTTCCAAACATAAGCAATAATCGCACACATTTTACAACCAATGAAAATAGCGCATCTACTTGAATGAAAATTAAAATCACTGCTATTTTTCGTCAACAGTAATAAATCCGATCTTAATAAATAAATCATCTCTTTGACTTAAATCTCTTTTTTTCTTTGTACAAAACTAAAGATTAAAAATCTTATTCGGTAAAGACTGTCAGCTATCTATAAATATACTTTGACTATGGATGTTCAATCACAATAACTTGCTGCTGATCAATAATTTGTATTTTTTGTAACTTCATAACCAATGTGGACTATAAACCCAAAATGAAAATCTATTAAAATCACTGCGCAGGAGTATTCAAGTCCCGGATCAATATTTGTTATAGTTTGTCTGAAAATTAATGGGCCACAAACACAAAACCCATGCATAAGAAGAAAATGTATCCATGACCAACTGCACCAATAAGTTAATCATGCATTCGAATTTTTTCGCATTTCTCTAGAAGGGAGATCTCAGTAGAAGATTATCAAGACGTTTGATCAACTGGCCTCTCCTCCTTTTCAGTATCAGTGTCATCCCTAATCCTTTTAGCTGGTAAGTTCCAGGGCTCTCTCTTCCCCGCTCTTATAGGACGGAGTAGGGATTTTAGGAACTCTTCTGAGTCTCTTCATGTTTTCCTCCCTAGTCCCCAGCCTGCCGCGTCTCCGTCGTTCTGTCTCCTTGCCCTTACTGTGCCACGTGTCTTCCTTCAGAGGTGCCGTTTCTTGAGCTGTTTGTCCGAGTACTTCTGTGCACCTGCTTCAGTTCATTAAATGAGGAAGCAAACTGAGTCTTCTTTGGTGGTTTCGGGGGTTTCCTAAAACAAAAAGCCACAAAATTACTACGCAACGATTTTGTAACAATCAGGGCGAAATTCTTTGAAGCGATCCTGAATTAAAGTTCCGTGCATCTCCGTGTTAAACACGTTACAATTGGCTTTATCATTGAAAAACTGACCACTAGCATTTTCTGTAAGCCTCTAGCTGTATTTTGTGAATCACACAAACAAAATTTTAAGTTCAAGTTCTTGATAAGGTACTCACCCATCACCGCCGGCTGAAACCTGTAATGAAGCAACACCGTCTGTGACTTTGGTCATTTTCTGAGCAGGTGAAGAACCACTGATGAACAAAAAACGACATCAACAGGTAAATTGTGCTATATCGTCTATTTTAAGGACGTTCGCGCGAAAATTTTCCAGTCGATAGTTTCTTTTAAAATTTTACCGCAGTCAGATAATGAGTTACTTGTGCCAGAAAAGCAAAAAAAAATAAATAAATAAAAAATTGGGGGGTCACCGACTTCGCTTCAGAGATAAAGCGTGTGGAAAACCACCCTGATTTTGAAAAATTGGCACACGTAATTCAGCATGGTCTATTGGGGTTTATAGTTAAAAATATCCAAGGTGAGTCAACAGAGGTAAACGATCTTAGTCATATTTTGTAGAAGTGAGTCTGCTGCGTAAATCGTTGCAAATGTTACCAAAGTTTTCACAAAACTTAACCCTTCAAGAGGCATTTGAAACCGTCGCACAGATAAACGAAGAGCTAAAACGAACGGAATTCGATGGTGCATTTTACAAAAAATTCAAACTTTTAGTCGATAGATTTTCTCAATTTTTTCGTTAAACGTAGAAAATCGGTAGAGAAAATGATCCATCGGAAGAAAAATAGGGGTTACCGAACGTCCAAGATCTTTAAATCCAGGCAAAGCTATAGCAGTGGCCATCTGCCCTATCATTGTTCGTTTTATTACTTAGCGCGCGCTCTCATGCATGACGTGGCGTGTAAATTTGCGTTTGCAGAAAGGATGCGCAGAAACAATTAGCGCGAACGTCCTTAAATCCACTGTGGGAAATCATTCTTACGGAGCTTTTCAGATGACTTGCAACAGCAATTACTTGAAAAATTAAGTTAAGTTCTCTCTGTCTTACACCTTCTTGGATTTGTGATTGGCTAACAGAACTCGTGCACCATACTTTAGCCATGGATAGTAAAGGATAGTAAAGAGACTATGCTTTAGCCGATCAGAGCTAAGATGCTGTCTCTGCGGCCAATCAGGAGCACCGTAATTCTACTGACGCCACTGTTTTCGCGCTTGCCACCGATTACGTTATTTGCTGCACCTTCTAATTGGTTAACTACGTTTTCAGTAGCTACCACGGTGACTAGCTTGCTACTATGACATTGATCAGAAAAACACTAGATTGTGCAATTAAATAACAGTTCCTTGATTGCTACCAGGTTTACCTTTGTTTGTCCCCAGTGACTGGAGAATCCAGTCCAATCAATATTTGTGGTGTTTTAACTGTGGCGGACCTGGAAGACTTGCGATTAGACAGTCCGCTGCCTGGAAGACTAGACCTTCTTACCACTGTGGAACCTAGACAAAGAATTATACCCATTCTATAAAAACGCTTAATTTGACTCCAGATATTTGCTTTACGACACAACAAAACAAGTGTACAGACGTCCATCTATGCCCGCTCAATTCTTCCACCGCTCGAGAATCGCCTGAAATTCACCGACCCTAAAGATCTTATATGTTTAGTGACTTCTTAGAGAAATTCAAACAAAACAAACAATTATTAGAAATTCACCAGTGTCGAATTTTTCGGTCGACTTTCAGGGGTTTATGTCTTGAATGAACTGGAAAAGAAACGAGAAACACTACTGACCTTTTCCAGCCTTGTCTTTTGTCAAGGAAGATGCAGATCCTCCTAGCTGAGGGTTTCGTTTGGTTAGCTTTTTACCAATTTCTATTTGAGCAGCGTCACTCACAGCCCTTCTATCCTTAACGTCAACACTCCCTGATGATGTCGAGCTGGACTCACTTAACGCATTACTTGTACCCTGAATAAAACCAAATCATGTATCACACATTAAGTATATACAGTGGAAACTCCTCATGTTTAAAGGCAAATCCGCCAATATATAAACAATACCCCCAATTTGGCGCGAAAATACGCTCGGATATTTGCCCCCGGACATTATCTGTTCCGAGAAGCGAACAGTTTTCCGAGAGCGTAGTTCGAGGAAAACTGTGTGCTTTGAGAAAAAAAAACATGAAAGTTGGGGAATATCGGCGAAAATTCTGAACTTCGAGAAACAGATAATGTTCAAGGAAAAATAACCGATCATATTTTTAAAGTCAAATGAGGGCTATTGCGATTATTTTCCCTCAAATATTTTTTGCATTACGCAGATTGGGGAATATCACTTGGATATTCCTCAGTTTTAGCAGGAGCATGTTCAGTCACGTGACGCGTTATGACCAATCACGTGCGAGCGGAAAATATTTGATGGATGGTAGGAATGGTTATTTTNATTTCCTTTGCACTTTCTACAGTTAATGTTAGAGCAGACCTATTTAACGATTAAACCAAAACTTTACAACATAGCTCTTCCTCTAAAACATTCTTACCCTTTTCCTGTTTGGCAGGCACATTTTTCTTTTCATAAGGATACAAAGGTTTTCTCGTAGGAGCTACAATAAATTATTCAGAAAATATTAGAAACAGCACCACAACAGATAACACTGTCTTTAACTCCCTAGCTAGTGGTAAAAATAAAAAAAATCCCTCGTGTGTCAAATTTACAAGTGGTAATTAAATTTACAATAAAAAGAAGTTTGTACCATTTATTCCCAACGATTCAATGGAGGTAAATAATATTATCAGAGATGTCAATCAGTTTAATATTAGTTGTTATTAACATGTGGACAGAAGTTGTCCAAAATCTAAGTTCTTTATTGCTGATTAAGATTAAACAATTAGACTAGAAAGATTTAATGTCAGAAAAACCTGCTGGAAACTATTCACATCATAATGATCAATTTCACTGAATTTTATCAGAGCTCGGTGATGTCAAGTGGAATAAAATTATTATTTATCTACACACGTTTATTTAATGTTAATTAATAAATGGCAAACAGCAGTTTCAATTCCGGAAATGAACTCTATTTTTATGGTGCTGTTGTACTTTACTTTATGCATTTGAATTTAACTTTTTCATTTAGCTATCTATATAAACAGCACCTTTAGCTTTTGTTTTAGTGGTAGCTTTAGCAGCAGCTGAAGCAGTTGTCTTTGTTGTAGAACGTGCATTTTTCTGCCTTGTTGAGCCCTTCGCTGTGCACAAAGGGTCTGTTAAAAAAGGTGCATGTGCAGTGTCAGTGCAGAGAACAACATATTATGTGCCTACATCTGAACCATTTCACTCTCAAGCTCAAAGTCTTGATTCTCCTTAATTGTTGCCAGACATTTCTTTAAGTGTCACTTCTGAGAATTTGCTGGTGCATCACCATGTTGAAAACTTTTAATTACTTTACTACATGAAATTTTCACAACATGTTTATTTTGCTATTTTGAAGGGCTTCTGTTTTGAAACAATTAAATTCTGTGATTTTGTGAAAGTTTGTACTTTGAATCATTTTAACTTCATGTTTTTGAGTAGCACGCAGCTTATTTCCTTGGCAATGTTACTTTACCAGGTCCTTGAACTTAGTAAACCAATTTTATCAAAGGTACAATAACATCAAAATTATCAAAACTGCAATGACAGGACTATATGTCAACAGTAAAATAAGGTGAGTAACTTGATTTTCACGTCATGATATGTTCACAACACTTAGTGTTTGCGTCACTTTAATTTCGTATTTAAGAAATAGAAAACATGTACTGTGTTTCTATCGAGTTAGAGAAACACAAGTGAAAGTTTGGGAGAACAANTTACTGGGTATGATAATGGGTCAAGAAATCTCCTAATATTGAGTTCAGAAAGATGTTGACAGTTTGTAGTCAAGTTGTCAGTAGTTTTTCAGTCATTTTAGTACGAAGGTTTTGGTGATCATTAAAGCCAAGGATTCATGAAAAAATACTATCAATGGCAATTAGATATGGCGGTTACTTGCTAATATACTTCACTGCAATCAAAACATAAGCAGATTTTCTTTTGTATACATGATCAGCTGTGTAATATCTTACTGTAGACTTCTCTCGCTGTTCTTTTCTTAGTTGGCACACTTTCACATCTTCCCTCACTGCACCATGCACTAACCTAAGAACAAAATACCGTAACTCAGTGTATTTCTGGAACCAATTAAGGTCATTCCACTGAAATAGTACCTGCACTGAGAGTTTTGTGAAACTTTGCCTATTGATTGTTTACATTATAGGAAATTAAATTTTGAAATAAAGATGAGGGGTCCCCATGTTTGTTTAGGAGCAACCGGAACTTGTTTATACCCATATAAATCCTTATAATAGCACCATGATTGTAGTCACAATTGCTTGCTAAATTCACATTTCAGACGATTGTTTTTTGTTCTACACTGAGAATTGGTCAATATTTTATTTTACACAGATAAATTTATTACTCAATTCAAAACAACAGAAAAAAATGATAGGTCACCATACTCGTTTGCGAGAAAATGAGGATTTACCTCTGTGGCGAGGTCCAGCCGTAAAGAAAAAGCTGCCATTTTTTAATGTGCATGCGCTAATCATGCGTGAAATTATGCGCAGTAGGGACTCGCAATGCAATACTGGGGAATGACCTTAAGATGATATGATTTTAGCATACAACCATCTTACATGCTAAAGACATGAATACAATGGAATCCTGATTTTTCAAACCCCAAGGGAAACAAAAATTGGTTTGAAAAATC